TTCTTCAGCGATGGACCGAGATCGTGATCATGCGTGGTTTTGATCTATGCTCGCTGCTGGAGCGCCCCGAGCCGCCTGGATTCGGGGCTGAAGCCACCCTGTAGAGGTGGTGAAGAAGAGGGAGCCATCAGTGGGGTTGAGGAGAGCTACATCTCTCCTCCTGGGCTGGCCATTACTCTCTTTCCCAAAGGCAGTTGTACCAGTGGTCAGAAATGGCTACCGCAAAGAAGAACCTGACCAGACAAGATTGTGCAGGAAGAAGTTTAAAGGAGAAAGTTTGACTGACCGGGTTGAATGGAGAACATCTATTTAAGATACCTGGTACCTGAATTTTAAAGACTAATACTATTCATAAAAAAGATTTTAAGCGGCAAAAGAGAAAGGGAAAGGAAACGGAATTGGCTTTTTTTCCTCTCACATTGACAGTTTTAATTGACTTGAAACGTTAAGAAGAAGAGATTCAAATAAGAAATTGATACTAATCCACTTTGACATTAATAGGCTATTTCTAGCTGAAAATAAAGTGTCAAAGGGATAAAGATTCTTGAATAATTTAAAAAATTTCTTTAAAAAATGAAAGAAAGCAGCGGAGGGAAAAAGGAAAAAAGAGGGTAGAATCTGGAAAATGGAGACGACCACCTGGAACTTAAAAAAAAAATCGATAGTGGAATTTTAACAAGGCTTGCAAAAGATACATTGTAGCTGAAACTTTGTTATAAGATAATAAAGCCCCTGGAAAGAGAAAGTGAGAAAAGAAGCAAGAAATAGTTTTGGATTATTGGATGATTCCTGGAACTTTGGATGGAGGATCCTAATGAAACAAAATAAAATCAATTGGGGATTGTTTAATTTTTAAAAAAATGGCATCACTCCTTGAAGAGTTAAAAATGAGACTTAAAGAACAAAAAGAAGAAGCACAAGAGGAAAGAGGATCTTTTGGCTTCGTATTTCAATTTTTAGAAATGGAGATCTTGAACTATGAAAAACAACAAGAAACGCTGGCAGAACAAGAAGGGCGGGACAATGAAGAAGCCATCTTTAATGACCAAGCAATTTTAAGCGGGATAAAAATGGGAAAGAGGGGGAAGGGAGTTAAAAACTTAAGCATTGAAGCAACAACCCCCCAAAAGAGTAATTTGAAAGTAATCATAATATCAGGAAGAAGCAGAAGGGAGGATCACAGAAGGGAGAATCAGATAGAAAAGGGAATAAAAAGGGGAGGGAGAAGAAGAGAGGGAAGAGGGAAAGGAAAAGAAGCTACAAAGGACAGAAACAAGATATAGAGGTACAGGAAAAGCATACAAGAATTAAAGGTATAAACCTATTTAAAAGACACAGAGACAATGGTTTTAACCTGAGAGGATTTTGCAAGGGTACATGGGATAGCATTGTTATATTAGAAGTAGAAAAGGGTTAGAAAATATGTTAGATGATTAAAGTGATAGAAAAAATTTCTATTGATGTGTCGTGGAATATTTGTTTGTAAAGAGAATAAGGCTCTCAATGATTTAAAAAGAAAGTTTTTTTAAAAAAAAATGAAAAGAAACACGGAAGATTTTTATCAGTTGACAAGATGAACTTGAATAAAAATAATAACTTTATTGACTACTGTTAATAACTATTGTTTGGTTTTTTTATTTAAAGACAGTAATAAGTAAAATATGAAATATAGATGATTAAAGTGAAAGACAACTGGTATTAGTAGGTAATGTTTGTTAAAAGAAATAGAAATTTAAAAGATTGTTATTAATATTAATGGCAGAGCTGTACTTGAATAGAATAATTATTCCATTTACTATTGTTATACACACACACACACACACACACACACACGTGTGTGTGTGTGTGTGTGTGTCATTGATAACTGGGGTCTTGCTTTGTTCTTTGTTCTTGTTATTTTACATTATCTACTGCTTTATGTTGAGTGAATTAAATAGGCCATATGTATACATTTTATAGAATATAGAACCAAATCAATATATATCTGAATTTTTAAAAGAAATTTCTATTCAGACCAATCTCTCCTCTCCCCTACCCTTCATGTGTCGATGTGTTTGTTGATGGAATTGTGAAGTGTGAGGCATATTGACCTATAACAAATCAAGGAACCTTGAGAATTCAAATCAACCACACAACCAACCAGAGATGCCACCAACCTCAATCAACCCACATAACCCACACAAGCACTTTACCTCCCAATGACCTTTACCTGATGTGACTTCCCCACAAGACTCATCACCAGACCTCACCTGACATGACCCTCCCATCACAAGACCTACTGACCAACAAAGCCTTTATAAGCAGAGAAACACTCAACACTGACATTCCCTAAATTCTCCCTAAAATGTTACCTAGCCTGGTAATGAAATATTCGGAAACCAACTTACAAATTTGGAGAATGAACCTCTACCCTCATCCTACACCCAAGCTACAGATATTCACCACTATCACAAATTCTAATGGGAAGTTCCAGGTGCTAATCTAGCTATGGAAACTTGCTGGATGTTTTTTGGTCTAACCTACTGCACAAGATTATTGCAAAGGAATAAAATGGAAGAGAGATGTGAGTACCACCTACAGTTCTTCAATGAAAGGCGAAATATCAATCTAATAAATTGTGTAAGTGCAAATTAATCAGTAGAGGTCAAACACAGATGAAATGAGATTAATCAAGGATTCCTATCTTTTATACCTACCTGTGTATACAATAATATATGAAACTGTATAAAACATATTGATGTTAAACACAAATCAGTTGTGTGTAAGTGTTTGTATAGCATTAAAGGATGCCATGTGAAAGAAATGAAAGAGGTGATTTATAAGTGGAACGGTCTTGACATTGCATCTTTTTTTGGATCACCAGGATGATTTTCTCCTAATCCCTAAGGCACTGCGTAGTAAATTAACAAGGTCTGGGAAGCCTTTAAGACCCAGGAGAATAATATAAGAAGGACAGGGCTGAAAGGCTCCCACCTATTTTTTTAGAGGCAGTATTTTTGAATCTTGGCAATTTTAAAACGGGTCGACCTCAATTCCGAAATTCCCTAGGCAGCCTCGCTGGCTGGGGTATTCTGGGAGTTGAAGTCCATGCGTCTTAAAGTTGCCAAAGTTCAGAAAACCTGAGCTAGAAGAATGGGCTTGCTTGCTTTTTTTTTTTAATCTGCAGAAGAGTTTCTGTGTGAGCGCGGAAGCTTAAGCTTCTTTCGCGTTTACAGTCTGACATCCTCGAGAAAAAGTTTTAAATCGAGACTTTTTAAAGGAAGCGGAGTTCATCAGAGGCTCCCTACCCCCGGAGCATAGTTTTTCTCCAACCGGCAGAAACTGTTAAAGCATTATATAGCTTTCGACTTCCACATTACTTCTCTTAGCTGTTATTTTTTGCCTAAGAGAATGATCTGCTAAGGGAATGATTCTACTACATGAAAATCGGTGAATATTGCGGACACCGTTTTGGAGGCAGGTAATGAAGAGGCGCTTACTTCTTCAGCACCATGTTCCGCACTACGAAGCAGAGAATCCCCAGGCCGGTAACTCGGAATTTAGAAGACCTAGACTCGGTGCAGAGCATCCTGCTGCACAGGTAAAGATGAAAGTTTGTGAAAGGAAGAGATTCCCAGTGAAAGAAAAAAAAAAGATGTGCTCCAGATTTTTTCTCTGCTAATACGCATTAGTTGGTCTCAGATGTATGGGATAACAATACGCTAGTAAACGATGAGAGTTTTTCAATGCAGCACTGCAGAAAGTTGATGTAAATGCAGGATTTGTCTTTCCAGTTTGCAATTGAGTTTATTTACATTACACATCGTATTTCACTAATTCCAGAAGACCTTTTTTTTTAGTGCCATAAAAGGTTTGTTCCATAGAAAAATGCTTTACCTTTCTGATGGCGAAAAGGTAATGCTTTATCATCTAAGTATCATATATTGTTTAGTGGACAGTTTTTGGAATGTTAACTTTTGTCCTGATACAGCAAGTTGTAAGACTGACTCTTGTACATATTGCATGCATTTATACCTGTGAGCACTTTGGAGAAGTTTCTGATTTACACTATTAATATTAATTGATCTACAAGGCTAATATGCTGCTCTAATCAAGACCATGTCTGAGCTGCTAGTTACATAAATTAAGCTTAAAAGTATGAAGTCTTAATATAATTGATAATGCAAAACAAAATTCAGTACCAGAAGTAGAAAAAGCACTACATTCATTAATTTACAAATTGCAAAAGGCAGCTCCAAATTTTGTGTGTGTGAGGAGATGGTTACTTTCAGTGTTTCTGGGGATCCCTAATAAAGAATAATCCCAGATAAAATATGATTTAATGTATGGAATGTTTTTTTTTAATCCAAAGAGACTTGTGCAATGAATATAGAATGGAGGCCAGCAAAGCATTTAAAGTTCAAGATTGATTCGAAGATAAACTACCATAACCATCTCCCAAAAGTATAGAAGTTAATTAGTTGAGACACTGATTTTAAGCCAGTAAAATGTAGTCTTCAATTTCACTTGATCCATTGGAAATCCCTTATAAATAAATTGATTCCTTGGGATTACTGCATATTATTGAACAGCAGTTCTTAGCGGGGGGGGGGGGGGGGGGGGGAGATGTCAAAGATAGGGTGGCTTTTGAGGAAGGACTTAAAGTAATCATTTATCTGAAAGACAAATGATGCCAGGGTCACCATAACGGCAAAGTTGCGTTTTGAAGGCAGTTCTTTTATCAGGCTGAATGCTTACAAACCAGCTGCAAGTTTTTGAGATTCTAGGGATGCAATATAATTCCGGCAAGGTGATTAAAAATCTGGGCAAAATGCAAAGAGAAGAAGGGAGGCTAACGGCTGCTAAGTGTTTACGGTCCGATTTAGGAGTTTCAGGGAGAGTTTTTGGAGAGGGGCGGAGCGTATCGTTGTCAGGTCTCTCGGCGCTTCTCTGGGCGCCATGGTTTCCCCAGCCTTTGCCAATCAAGACGCGACAGCGGGTGACGTCCTGCTTTTTTCGGATTCCAGTGTCATGGCGGCAGAGAGCTTGTAGGGATCTCGAAGGAAACTGATTCCCCCCCCACCCCCCACCCTTTGTCATGGAGGAAACGGTGCTGCCCCGCCGGCCTTTTGAGGTTCCCCGAGAGCCGTCGGCTGAGGATTATGACGAGTCTAAGGGCGGTGACTCGAATCAGGGTGGCGATTCCTGCTCTCCATCTTTGTCCAGCAGTTCCGAGTAAGGAGAGAGAGGTTCTTCCCCGCTTTTGCGAGCGAGAAAGGGCTGCAGGCCGCGCATGTGCTGATTTCCGGAAGGCAACGGAGTTGAGTTAGGAGTAAATGATTTGAGATGACCACCTTCCAAATGTGCTGTTCTTGGTTGCTTTTAGAAACGCGGAAAGTGTGGGATTGCAATTTCCCTAACGGGATGCTTTTCCTTTGCCTCCAACTAGGAACTTTAGTGATTTATCCCTTAGGCTCTTTTATTCCCTGGTCCTTTTCTTCCCAACGAACAGCTTAGCATGTCAGCATAGGAGATAATGTCTATGGAGATTCTCAGTCATCCAGGTCATGGTTTTCAAGAAGCAACTGGGCTTTCTGATTTTTCTTTGAAGACGTTTAGCTTCTCATCCCAAGAAGCTTCTTCAGCTTTGACTGGATGGTGGGGAATGGAAATGTTGGAAATAGGATAATGCAGTCGTTTTTTTCCATCTCTGCTTGGAAAGCCTATTGTATCTGAAAGAGTGAGTGGGAATTTGCCCCATCTGTATTTATTCTGAATGAATGGGAAGTATCCTGGATTGTTAACTGGGAAATATTCACTTTTAATCCCAAACCACTAATTAAATACTAAATAAAAATTCTTCATGCTTTCTTCTTCCTTCTCAAATCACTGGTTTTGCTCTCCGTTTATGAATTGTAAACTTTGTTGATACAGGGCAAAGAATACATTTATTAAATTTATATGCTGCCCATCTCACTATCTGGGTGTCTAAATGCACTAAGTGGAAACATTTCATCCGAAGAGAAGTGTGCAGGAATAACCCCTACTACACCTTCAGATATCTATTTAATCCAGTTTCTAAGCAAATGCAAATACAAGCTCACACATCACACAATTTGCAATATTTGATCTGACGTGGCAAAAGAATGTTGCATCTTTCTCAGACAGTTATTAGCAGTTTGCAAAGCTTTTAACAATGTTTCCCATATAATATTTGGAATATATATGATTGAATTCACTATTGGATTATAAGGAATGCTATCTTCAGTCTGCTAATAACCTAATGGTAACTTTGGAAGAGGTAGCTCTTTCTCTGAAGAAGTAGATGTATAGATGTATAGTTTTGGCTATTAACTGAAATGACAGATAGAGGCTATTCCTGAAGTGGTCTTTGTCTAGATTGGCGGCATGTCAGTTGCATCATTTCCTGGAGAAGGAAACCCTGGCACTGTGACACATTCCATAAAATTTACTGTAATGATCCTGCCCTTGAAATCTATTTGGAAGCTCTATTTAGTCTAAAATTCGGAAGGCCATCTGTTTGTGGATGACGGAGTCCAGTACAATTAAAAATGCTGGTAGTCACCTTAAAGGCCTAATGGTTTGGGACCTGAATATAAATGGGATCACCTTCACCTAGCCAATGAGATCTTGTGGAGAAGGCATCCTTTTAAAGTGTTGTTCAACTTAACTGATGCACTATTCCCAATAGAACACAAAAGTAATTTTTTATGTTGCTGCTTCCTCCTTTGAACAGCATTCCATCCAAGATTAGATCAGAATCAACCTGCTGGCATTTAGACAAACTGCGAAGTCCTGATTATATTGGGAAGTATTTGCAAATAGTAATAACGTTGAATTCCAAATTTGCAAAAGAGGGTTGTTATGGTGAATTAAAATGAATGACATAAGTTATTTCAATGCCCAGTGCAGCAGAATAGGTTAGAATCCAATAAACATTTGTAGCTCAGGATTGAAATTAGGTGGTCTCTGAACTTGGTTGTTTTCTTGCAGAACTTCAATATCCAAACTAGGTAACATCATCAGTGCTAGTGAGTGATGTTACCTAGTTTGGGTAATGAAACATCTGCAAAAAACCAACCAAGCTCAGAGACCACCAAGGACCCATCAGATTAGAATCCACCAACCTCTACATATATGCTTTTTATATTTTAAAAATCATGATCTATATTCATAATCATTGTTATCAGGAATAATCTAGCTCCTTGTTGCACCAAACATGTCAGTTTCAGTATCTAATGCTTTTGAAGCATCAAATAGTAAATCTTTTGAGTCATAGTTTCTTGGTCTTCTGCATTTCATAAGTTTTTAGGTTAATTATGAATTAAATATACTGCTGTTATCTCATTCATAGTGACATTGAACCTGAGTGGTTGTATAGCGTGCAGAAAAATGGAGAATTATTCTACCTAGAACTAACTGAAGATGAAGAGGAAACCATCCTTCACAATAGTACTCTTGCTAGATCTATGATGAACCATGTGAGATTTAGTGAAAATGAAGCTGAGATTTTTCATGAGGAAGCTGTAAAAGACAGAAAGAGTGAAGATAGATTGCAACAGTTTACTAATTTATTAAAGAATAAAGGTCTTCTGAGGAATTTGGAAAAGAAGAAAGCAAGTAGCAAAGACTGTGTCCATAATTATGCCCCAGCCTCCATATTGAAACACCATAAGATGGGAGATGTTGACCAACAGCTGTACAAAGACATCTACATTTATGTAAATCCACAGAAAGCCTCAAATGCCACAATAGGGGACCAACATGATCTTCTGGAATCCTTAATAGGAATTGTCCACCAACCACCATGGCCAACAGCTGAAAAATATAGTCATGGTACTGAATCTAGAAGTACTAATGAAGAAAAAATTACAGTACATGGTTTGATCCCAGGAAGCTCAGCAATAAAGTCTGGACAGATCTTAATTGGTAAGTTCAATATTTTACACACTTCTGATAAAACCAGTATTGTGGAAGATGGAGGGACTTTTTTCAATATTGGTATTGGTCTTCTGATTAAGGAATATGTTATGGATTGAGCAATATTAATATTATTTGAGTAATAAACATTTCACATGTTATACATAATAGAACAAGAACTTATTAGGAAGTCAAATCACATCTTGAACGTTTTTTAAAAAATTTCAACAAGAAGTATACCTGATAAACTGTCTTTCTGGGCTTTCAGAATAATATTTTTCCCTGATCAGAAGTTCGTTGTTTATGTTCAGCTTATAGCATATACCTATACCTATACATACATACATATATACATAGATACATTCTCATAGATTTTCACGGGTACAGGTATGCAGGTCTTGGCGTGTTCGGGTCTTTTCCCGTGTAAGATTGAGAGCATCTTGGCAACGTTTCGATGAGGTCCCACTCGCCATCTTCAGGCTGGTGCGCACACACACACATACACACACAAAAGCAACCAATGTAATTGCAATAGATATTAAGAGCAGGAGGATATAAAATACATTGTACTCTAGCCGATATTGTTTTTTCTATTTGTCAATAATATGAAAGATGCTATTTGAGGATGTTGAACCAAGAATAATGCAGTTATTGCTTTCATTCATTGTAACCTTATGTCATTGGTACAAGTGAAATGTAATTATACAGTATTTTTAAGGATCATATAATAAATCGGGACTCTACAAAATCATCAAACCTACTAAAGAGGAATACAGTAGGTAGAGTACAGGTGTCAAACTCAATTGCGTCATGAGACATATTGTTACATATCATTATGTTTTTTGTCTTTGTGGAGTTGGAGTGGGCACAGCCTGCACATGATGCATATGACCTGTGAGCCACTAGTTTGACACCCCTGAGGTAGAGAGTTCAGAAATTGTTACCAACCCCAAAATTACCAAGATAAAATCATTATAAAGGCTCATATGCAGGGGAATATTGCAAAACTAGATACGGTAGCAATAGCACTTAGACTTATATACCGCTTCACAATGCTTTACAGACCTCTAAGCAGTTTACAGAGTCAGCATTCTGGCTCTTTGTTTTACTGATCTGGGAAGTATGGAAGGCTGAGTTAACTTTGAGCCAGACGGCTGGCAGTTGGCTAGCAGTCAGCAGAAATAGCCTGCAGTACTACATTCTAACTACTGCACCACCACAGCTCTGACCTATCTAGATGTAGGTATTATGTGTAGGATAGCAGGAAGAAAGGAAAAATCCTATTTGTTTTCTTTGAGAAAAATGGAGGAACATATACAGTTGGAAATATTTTTAATAAGGTACAGTATCTTCTATTTTGTAAGGATATGGTATCTTTTTTTGGCAAACAGGCTGATTCTTGATAGTTAGAATTAAAGTCTTGAGCAACTGAGATATAAAATAAACATACGGTGAATTCTACTTCTATAGAATGTTCATAAAGACCTAAGGCAAAGGAGAAAATGAGAAGTGCAGATTTTTTACTGATTAACTTTATTTAAATCCAGATTAACATTTGGAAATCATGCTATCATTCTAATATATCAGTTGCTCTTTTATAGGCCAGAGTGCTTTTACTTCTGCTGTAGCAAGATCCTTTTGACTCCAAATTGACAAGTGATTCCCAGCCCACAAAAAAAGAGGGCGGGGGGAGAAACCCTTGCAGAAAATTAGAAGATTTTGTGGTTGAAAGAAGAAACCTCTTATTAGACCTAAAGCAAGATTTACGGTAAATTTAAGGAATTTACAGTTGCTCATATCCTGTTATAGGAGCAAGCACATTGCTGGAAAGAGAAGCAAAAAGAGCAGATAATTGCATATATATGTCTCAAATGAAATAAATATTAATCTTCAATGCATGCATATAAATCAGCCATTCTTAAGAAACATCCTACCCATTTGGAATTTTATTTTTTTCTGCTTCCTTAACATTGGTTTTCCTTCTGCTTTCAGGAGATATCCTTGTTGCTGTAAATGATGTTGATGTAAACTCTAAAAATATAGGAAGGATTTTGTCTTGTATTCCTGGTCCTATGCAGGTATACTTCAGTTGATTTTATTTTATTTAGATAAGCATGCAAATACCAAGTTTTTTAATACTAGTTTTCTATATGAATCATACATGAAACACAACTTTCTTTGTAATCCTAGACGAAAGTAAGTTGTTGCCAGGGCACTGATATTTTACCATAGTTGTAAACTATGATGAGTCTGCCAGGCTCTTTTCTAGTCATATTCCTTTAACTAAAAAGGATAAAATTTGGATGATCTTGAAAATAAAATGTATATTTCATATTTATTTTTTCAAGGTATGTATGTTCAGAACAATGATTGTATTTTGCTCCAGCTGGTCCTGTCTACCAGTGAGATAAAAAGTATGAAGCAAAAAAGACATTCTTCAGCAATTCATAATACTGAATATCACTTGGTGACTCCAATATGATAAATGCATTTAACTTACTTAAAACATGTTTATGCTCTTTCTATTTTAAAAAAATCTGAAAGCATTTTGCACTTAAATTATACAGTTGTGTGTACTTCAAGTCTTTGCTATCATGTTTTACTTTTGCAGTTGTTAATAGTGAATAATTTAAATTAATTACTTCATTATATTTATGAAAACCATGGCTTACTAAGCCTAGCTGTTGTGTATATTTAAAACTACCTAGACTACTACCTGTCTAGAAAACATTTCTAAATTATACCCAGTGAAAATATTAATTCTTTTAACAGGTAAAATTTACATTTGAAATAGCAACATTTGAACCATCAGGAACGTCTCAGTCAAAGAGTAAACAGGCAGAATCCTCTGAAAACAATCTGGTGAAGCTGCTGTGGAGAGACCATAATAATGATTTGCAGTTCTCTCTGCAAAGTATACCACATATTGTAATGTATCTCTCACTTAACTTGGAATCTGATTCATCTGATGAGGTAGGAATACATTTCTTAAATAGTGCATGTATCCTGTCTTTCAACAAGAAAGATGACCAATATAAGACAAACAAAAATACAACAAAAAAGCAATGAAAATAAAAATATTTATCAAGAAACTAGAAACTAGGAAAGAGCAAGTATATAATTGTAAGAGAAAAAGTGGCAGAATCTGGGGGTGGAATTAAAAAAAGGATCAGCCTAGAATCCCTACATAGCCAGGAGAAACTTAGTAATAGCTTGAGGACCTATAATTTAAAAGAGAAAAATTGCAAAGTGGGTTTTAAATTGGTTTGGGAGGAACTCCTCTATATCTTGAAATGGCAGTATTATAATTTCAGTTTTCTGAATTGAAACAGGCTTCACATGTAACAGAACAAAGTATATAATAATATTTCACAAATGAGAGTGATATCATGAGTACTGATTTACATAATTTGTGTAATGTCATTTGGGGATTTTGTAGGATAAAAGTGGGATTTCATATTAGAACTTCCCCTTTAAAGTGGGATTTCATATTGGAACTTCAGTTCAACAAGATAATGTATAGTCTCTTGCTTTTCACAAAATAGTTACATTTTTAACATGGCTTGAAATTAAAACTTTTTAATTATAAGTGACTTTATTAGAAAATTTAAAAAGGTATAAAAATGTAATAATACATAATTATAAAATCAGCAGTAATGAAATGTACTAGCAAATTGTGTACAAAAATTTCCCAATATGTGGTTTTTACAATACATTTCTCTGGTGAGGATTTTTAGATGAATTCAAGAAAGATCAATTTTAATTATGGATATGGATTTTACTTTAATTTGCTTAACTGATACAGACTGACATTTCTTTGACAGCAAGAAATTCTTTATCAATATCCCACATCAGAAGCATCTCAAAAGATAAAAAGTGTAAGAGGAATATTTCTCACGCTGTGTGACATACTGGAAAATATGACTGAAACACAAATAATTAGGCAAGTATTGTTCTTATTTATCATTTTTGCACCACCACCAGATTTCTGATCTTTTTAGAATTTAATAACGTTAAACCTTTGCTTTAAACTTGCTGTCCCTGATCACTCATAAATCATGATTTTTGAAAACTATTACCTGTTTTTATGAGAAATGGGAAAATAATACACCATATACCCAAAAATAGACATATCACAATTTTTAAAAGAGTCCATCAAATCAAGTTGAATGTTATTGAACATTATTAATAGGCTGCCAAGTTATTGTTATTTATATTTAACTAATAAATTGAACATGATCTTGACCTCCTAGGATTCTGTATGTGACCTTGGCTATCAACAGTTATCCAACACTGACAAATCATAGAGTAGTACTGGCTTGGCATCTGTTATGTTATTTGCAAAGTCCAAACTGCCTATTAACATAATACACATATAGGAGAATAATAATTTTTAAAAATGATGGGAATAATTTTAGCAATTAACTGTATTGCTGAAAAGTTAAAGTTGGAAAGAAACTGAATTTTTATGTTTGATGCTACCTGTCACATTTTTATGATATACTTACCTGACCATATTTTCTTGATTATTTTGTTGACTTTTTATAGCTCATCTATGTTTTTATGTGGAAAGTTAATCCATGTGGCTTATTGGAAGAAGGCTGACAAGCTGCTCATAATTGGCCTTCCAGCTGAAAGGTACATTTCTCTATTTTTCCTTTTTAATTTTTTTTTGCTAAAATTGCTAAAATTTTGCTAAAATTATTCATAAATATTTACTAAAATCAAAAGATCATCCTTCTAAGATGGTTGTTATAAAATATAACTAGTCTCATGGCATATAATAAAATTATTACTGGATAACACTATTTTAAATATACAACTTCCCAAATTAGTTCATGTCCTTTTCATTTGCTTTTAATGACATTGAATTGTGTGCTATTCCTTGTACACATTTATCTAAAGGATTATTCTGGTTTTCTAGTGTACCTCTCTCTCAGCTAAGGAACATGATTGCAGATGTTGTGAGAATATTGACATTCATGTACAGTTCTTTGGATAGGTAAGCATTCCAATTCTGGACCATGGTAACTAAGCCAATGCATTTTAGATTCAGTTGCGTACTTACATTGTTTAAAATGTACCTGTAGGATTTCATTTTGAAGGACAGATCTAGTTATCTTATTCTGAATTATGCTAGAAAGTTCTGTCAGCTTCACATGTGATTTGCTCTGCAGAATGGGAAACTGAAAAATCAAACTCAAATTATTTAAATTTCCAAGTGATACCACTGTTTGCTAGATATATTTTATATGTTTTAAATAGCAATATAAAGATGAATTTCTGAATATATAAAGTTAAATATTTCATTTTGTTTTCTCAGTTTTTCATAATAAAGCAAGTGCTCACAGACTCATTTATTTGTTCAGATTTTTTCCTCTTACATTCTTTATCCTTTATACCATAGCCACTAAACAAAGTCTAAACAATGTAAAAGTGGAAGCATCTTGAAAATCATGTAGATTCTTTCATATTAAGTAATATTGTCTAATAAAAGAACATGGATATATTTATCTTATAAAGATTGTACTGTTATCAGAATAATAGTAATCAGAGCATTCTACATAGAAGAATGATTAAATTTAAAATAACTTGCATTGATTTTTAAATTTTTTTCTTCCTTATTTTTTCATAGTGTCCTTTCCAGTACCTCTTTTTGTTTTGTTTTGTTTTCTGATTTCTTAAGTCTTCCTATGTTGTGTTATAAATATCTTATGCTAGTTAGACAGGTCATAACTAGAACTAATATATTTCTTAATTTTTTTCCAACTTTTCGTTTGCTTGTTCAGTGCTTTTTGTCAGACAGGAAATACTTCTCGATTGGATTACTTCTTCAGCCTATTTTTCCAGCAAGTTCTTCAGCATGCCAACTCCAATGCCAACCCTGGTTATCCCCACCATGATAACAGCTCATTACTTTTATACAACTTTCCAGGAGTACGATGGCTGTTTCTGCCTCAAAATATTAAAGTAGGTTCGATTACAGATTTTAAAAAAATCAAACATTAGCCAAATTGACCGAGATACACATAGACATTTTCATGTATGTGCTGAAATATTCCGACCCAATATTGTTTTATCCCTCAGTCTGCATAACTAGCATATATATGAATTACCATACTATTCAAATAATCATGATATACATACTAGATCATGTCCTGAACTGTAGCTCCAAACAGCATGTAGAAATTTGTATTTCTGAATATTTATCTGGTAAAATGCAGAGTGCATGCCATGCCTAATAGAAATTCATGGGATAGTTACAAGATTGAAGTCATTGCTCATTAAAAAACACATTAATGTTACTTTTAAGCTTAAAAAAAATAGCTTCTTGATCCATACCTTTGGCGGAATGATGTATGGTCAGATGAATCAAACCTAAAAATGTCGGGGCTATATGGGTATTATTGTGTCTTGCGAGCATTGAATTCCATAATAAAATCTTTATACCAGCTGTCAAGCATGAAATGTGCAGTGTCATAGTTTGGGGATGTTTTGCTTTCTTGGGACCTAAACGATTTCTGATCTTCGAAAAAATTATCAATCTGCTTTTTACCAGAAAATTGTACAGGAGAACATCAGAAACTTTGTCAGCAAAATCTGAACTGCTAGTGAGTCATGCAACAAGACAACACGCCCATGCCTTCAAGAAAATATACAAAAAATGAATGAAAAGGAACAAAATAGCCAAGTCCAGACTTGAACACAGTGGGAATGTTTTTTTAAGATCTGAATGAATAAGTTGATGCAAGTAAAGCCTTAAATATTACTGAGTGGAAGTAACTTGTTATGAAAGAATAGATCAGAATATTCATATAATGATGTGAGAAATTTTTCATTATTTATAGGGTGATTTCATTGTAATTACTGCAGCTAAAAGTAGTTAATAATTACAAACTTGAAGGGGCAATTAGGTTTTCATGCTAGCTTATCCTGTGTTGCATGTCTTTGTTTATGGAAGGAATAAAATAACTAATACCTATTGGTGCTGCTTGTTTACTCGGACTCTTTATATAGAATCCACATGGTAAAATAAGTACAAATTCAGAAGCAAGGTACTTTTTTCACAGAATCACACATCTATATTGCTGCAATGCTCTCTGCCGATAGATAGATAGATAGATAGATAGATAGATAGATAGATAGATAGATAGATAGATAGA